CGACGCGGATCTCCACTCCGTCGTGGTGGACTCACTGCGAGGGCCCGACTCCGTAGAACTTGATACCGAGGCGGCGTACTGTCCCAAGGGCAGGGAAGCCTGCAGGAACCAACAAAAAACAGCCCAGCCACACCCCCACCCAGGGCTCACGAGAGCCACAAAGCACCTACTGAGCTGGGCGCGATTGACTTCCCTATCCGTCCTCACGCTGCTGGGGCTGCTCGGCGCTGCTGGGGATTGGTGCTGCCAGCGATCTACATGTCAGAGCCGTACTGCTGCAACCCGTCGTGCTGATCAAAGTCGTGCTGCTCCGTCGCGCTACGCACCTGCGGATGTCCGGGTCGCCGGGTCTGCAGTCCGAAGTGCTGCCGAAGTGCTGCTCAGCGGCGGAGTGCTGAACCCTTCAGTGCACCTCAACGTTGTACAGTGGAGACCAGTCCACAAGAAACCTTCCACAAGAAACCGAACCCTGAGATCCCAGGACGTCCATTAATTTCTGATGTGGGAACGTCGCGCTTTCCATAGCAAAGCCATCGAAACCCAAGAAACCCAGGGCACCCTGGAGGCGAGCAGGGTGTTTCATGGCATGGGCCCCCACTGTACTGCTGCAGCCTGTCGTGCTGCCCAAGTGTCGTGCTGCCAGCCTGCGCGTCAGCGTGCCAGCGTGGCTGCCGAGGGCTCGAGGGCTGCAGAATCCCACCGTGGTGCTCGGCGTCAGGCTGCTGGGCCCTGCCGTGCTGCTCACCGCCGTGTTGCTGCTGCCCTTCGCGACGACCCCGCAGAGTCCCTGCCAAGATCGTGGGGCTGGTGTGGGTCGTGCTGCATGCTGTCGGATGTCAGCGTCGCGGGTGCGGCACTCCGTGGTGCTTCAGCGTCGGGACTGCTGGAGCACATCGCTGCTCACTGCGGCGCCCCGACGTGGTGTACCACGTCGAAGTGCTGGTGTCCGTCGAGCTGTGCCCCCCTGGATGTCAAGATTGGGAGTGCTGCACTCCGTCATGCTATCCACGGGTGGGTTTGGCGGCGCCCACAAGGGGGAGGAGGGAGGGGGGAGGGCTTCTTAGAAAGAGAATGCTTCTTAGAAGGCGCCGGCCTTACGTCTGTAGATGAGGCCCGCGCCTTCTAAGAAGCAGGGGTGCTCCTCAGAAGCCCTCCCCCCTCCCCCCAGCCCCCTTCTGCGCGGGGCTGATGGGTGTCGGGAAGACGGAGGGCGGAACTGCTGGGGCCTGTCGCGCGTGAGAGGGACGGCAGTCGGAGCCAGAGACCAAGCTGATGCAGGGGCAAGCTAATATGTTGGCAACGGCGTTAGGACGGCAGCTGGTACGGGGCTGCATAGAAATGACGTCTGCGAGAATTTCCGCCCCATATCAACGGCGTTGTTTGGGCCGCAGCGTACCTGTCGTGTTGCACATCGTCGTGCTGCTGGTGCCCGTCGTGCTGCGCACCTCTGATGTTCGAATCGTTGGGCTGCGCTCCGTCGCCCTGTTGAGCGTCGAACTGGTGGAGATTGTCGTGCTGCTCATCGTCGTGCTGCTTTTCTCGCGCAAGGCTGGACAGCGATGTGGTGCTCGAGTCCGTCGGGGTGAATAGTGTGGTAATGCTCGACTGCGCAGTACGGGGCACCGACGTGGTCTTCAACTCCGTCGAGAGGTTCACCGTGGCAGCGCCTGCTACCGCAGTGCTAGATGGAGACGTGGTGCTAAAATCCGTCGTGGTAGATGACGTGGTAGTGCTCGACTTCGTAATGCTAGGACCTGGCGTGGTGCTCCTCTTCGTCGTGGAGGGCATTATGGTGGCGCTCGATTCCATTGTGCTGGATATCCACACGGCACCCGACTCTGTCATGGTGGGTGCCGTGGTATCACACTGTTCCGTGGAACAGGATGTCGGCGTGGTGCTCGCCTCGGTCGTACATCGTTATATCTCACAGTAACGAAATGGTGGGTTGCGTCATCGTGCTCCTGATGCGCTCAACGTGGATCTGCTCAGACTTGTGCTACGGGTGCACACATCGGTACGATGATGATGATGATGCTGATGATGATGATGATGATCGTCATCATCATCATCATCATCATCATCATCATCATCATCATCATCATCATCATCATCATCATCATCATCATCATCATCATCATCATCATCATCATTATCATCGTCGCCTTCGTCATCATCGTCATCACCATCAGCATCATCATGAGAATAATCATCTTTATCACCACCACCATCATCAGCAGCAGCATCATCACCACCACAACCACCATCATAATCATCACCAGCAGCATCATCATCAGCATCAGCACCACCACCACCAGCATCATCATAACCATCATCAGCATCAGCATCGTCATCATCGTCCTCAGCAGCATCATCATACGAATCATCATCATAATCAGCATCGGCAACATCATCATCACCATCAGCAGCATCATCAGCACCAGCATCACCATCGTCATCAGCATCATCATCAGCATCAGTATCACCATCATCGTCGACCTCACCGTCACCATATAAACAACCGCAACAGCAGCACCATCATCGCCATGGACATCATCATCGCCATCATCGCAACCATTACTATCACCATCAGCATGATCACCAGCATCAGCATAATCTCCTGATCAACAGCACCATCACCATCGTCAACAGCATGATCACCATCATGATCGTCATCATCACAAGCACCATCGTCAGCAGCAAAAGCATCAGCATCACCGTCGTCATTGTCATCGGCATCGTCATCCTCATCATCACCATCATCATCATCATCAGAATCAGCATCATCATCAGCAGCATCATCATCGTCGTCAGCATCATCATCATCATCATCATCATCATCATCATCATCATCAGCATCATTACCAGCATCATCACCATCACCATGGTCCTCAGCACCATTACTGTCACGAACAGATGCACCACCACCATCGATGCCATCATCACCACCAGCATCAGCATTACCATCGCCATCGTCATCACCATCGCCCAGTCGTCAGTATCGTCAGCTGTAGCCTCCTCCGCATCCTCCGCCGCATCCTCCTCCTCCTCCTCCTCCTCCTCCTCCTGATCCGCCCGTTTCTCCGTGTCCCACCGCTGTTCCCCCTACCCCGGCGTGGTCGGATGCCAAGTGCTGCCTAGTATGGCCCATGTATTATGGCGAGACCCCCCTCCCCCGTACCCCCTCCAGCAGCATTTCCTCTCGCGCTGTCCCGAGGCAACGATCCCTCATACAAAAACTATGGAACCACGCTCCCGCGGCCACGATCCCTGCCACGTCCCGCGCGTCCAAGAAGGCCCATGCAGGCAACCAAGGACGCATAGATGGCCCCAAAATGCCTCGAAGACGGCACGAGATGGCCCCAAGGTAGCCGAATATGGTCTCAAGGCGACCCAAGACGCCTTTGACAGGGCCCACAAGGGGACCACCAACAGGATTCGAAATGGCCAAAATCACTGATTTGCCGAGGGTTCTTGAATGGCGTTCGGAGTCGCATCTTTCCTGGCTTCCGTCAGCTCAAGGCGGCCCAAGAACCCTCCACGATGGCCCCAAGACGGCCCGAGAGGCACCCAAGAGAATCCCAAGATGGCCCAAGAGGATCCCACGATGGCCCCAAGGCATCCCAGACGGCCCCAACACGGCCCAAGCGGGACTCCCGTGGGACCCAATACGCCCTTAGACGGCCCTTCGACGCCCCAAGACAGCACCAAGACGGCCCCACGACGGGCCCTAGACACCCACCATATGGCCAAGAGAGCCACAAGACGGCCCAAGAGGGCCCCGCTGCCAAGACTGCCTCACAGGAGGCCAAGACTGCCCCAAGACGGCCCAAACGAGTTCCATGACAGTCCCTCAAATAGTGACGACAAAAGATGTCAAATGTGACGGCCGCCTGCGAGCTCCTCCTCCTGCTCCTCATCCTCCTCCTCCTCATTATCCTCCTCCTCCTGCTCTTCGTCATCCTCCTCATCTTCATCATGATTAGCATCATCACCACCATCATCATCATCATCATCATCATCATCATCATCATCATCATCATCACCATCATCATCATCAGCATCATCATTACCATCATCATCATCAGCAGCAGCATCGCCATCGTCATCATCATCATCATCATCATCATCATCATCATCATCATCATCGTCATCATCATCATCATCATCAGCATCATCATCATCATCATCATCGTCATCATCATCATCAGCATCATCATCAGCAGCAGCATCATACTCATACTCATGATCAGCACCAGCATCAGCGTCAGCATCATCATCACCATCACCATCAGCATCAGCATCATCATCACCATCGTCACCAATAACATCAACATCCTCATCAACACGCTCATCATCCTTGCGGTCAGCATCATCATCATCATCAGCATCATCATCATCTGCATCATCATCATCATCATCATCAGCATCATCATCATCGTCGTCGTCGTCGTCGTCACCGCCGTCGTAATAATCATCATCAGTATCATCATCAGCATCAGCATCATCAGCATCCTCATCAGCATCATCAGCAGCATCTTCAGCAGCATCATCATAATCCCCCTCCTCATCATAATCGTCGCCGTGATCAGCATCCTCTTCCTCGTCGTCACCATCATCATGAATATCATCATCATCAGCAGCATCACCACCATCATTACCATCATCATCATCAGCATCATCATCATCAGCAGCAGCATCCACATCATTCCCATCACCCTGATAATCATCACCATCCTCGCCATGGCTACCCCAAAAATGGAGGCACGAGGTGTCACACGAGACGGCCTCCCGAAAATGGTGGGACTTGCAGCAGGCAGCTGGATATTCCTCATCATCACCTTCATCATCCTCGTGATGGCCTCTCTTTGTGTGCATCATCCTCTTCTCCGTTATTCACCTCCGCTTCCTCCTCCTCCTCCTCCTCCTCCTCCTCCTCCTCCTCCGCTTCCTCCTCCTCCTCCTCACTCATCCTGCACCCAGCATGACATAGGAGGTTAAGCAAAGTGTGTCCTTGATCGTCCCCTGGTGCTCCTCGCCGCCCACCACCTCGGCGGAGGACAACAACTGTGCGCTGTTCGGCGCCGGCGGAGGCAGGACCCAGACATGACGCGAGGCCAGGGAGAAATACCTGGAAGTCGCAGCGACTGCACCTCCTCCGCCATCCTCCTGCAAGTCCTGCCCTTCCTGCTCTTGCAGTTCCTCCTCCTCCTCCTCCTCCTCCTCCTCCTCCTCTGGGGCAGCGCCGAAGAGGGGGGCCCAGGGGGCCAGGAAGAGAGGGACGCTGTAGCGCATCCTGGCTCAAGGCAAGTGCGCGGACGAGGGGGGCCAGGGGACGTGCCGAGAGAGACAGAGAGGCAGAGGGGGAGGAAGAGGAGGAGGAGGAGGAGGAGGAGGAGGAGGAGCAGGAGGAGGAGGACGAGGACGAGGACGAGGAGAACGAGGAGGAGGAGGACGAGGAGCAGGAGGAGGATCAGGAGAAGGAGGAGGATGACAAGTCAGGGAGACTTCGTGGCCTGGGCCACGACACCCCCTACCCCCTCCCCGTCTTCACCACCCTCTTCGACGTCCCCAGGTCCTCTGGAGGCCTCCCGAACAAGGTCCGAGCAGATGGGGTCGGAGGATCGCGCACGCATCGCCGACGCATCGCCGACGCTTCGGTGACGTGGGCGATGCATCGGCGCCGTCAGCGTGGAGACTCTGGCTTCACATCGAGTCGCATCTCTGAAGCATCGGCGTTGCGGCGCGAGCCTCCGACCCAATTCACTCGGACCCACCTTGAGCTACAGCGCGACCGGACCAGGAGGATTCGCGGTGCAAGGCCCTTGGATGTCGAAGCTTAACTCTTCTGAGTGCAAGCTGTTCAGAATCGGCCGAAGGGGCATGGATGCAAGGGTAACCTTTGAAAGCTGTCTGTCCTCATGATGCGGTTGAACTGCAAACCCTCTCTACTTAAGGACCCGAACGCTACATAAGCATGTTAACCAACGCGGGCCCCAAACAGTGATGATGCGGCGCGATCTAGGTGGGGCCATCAATGTGGTGCAATCTAGGATGTGCAATCCATATGGTGCAATCTACGTGGCTCAAAGCAATACAAAGAAAGGTAAAGCATTACAAAGTAATGCAAAGCGATGCAACGCAATGCAATGCAAAGCAAAGCAACGTAAAACAATGCCAGGCAACGGAAAGCAAATCAATGAAACTCGATGCAAAGAATGTAAAGGAATGCCAAGCAAGCAACGCAAGAAGTTGCAAAGCAAGCAAAAGCAAGGCAAAGTAGGCCAAATGAAGGCAAGGAGTACAACGCAAACCAAGGCAATGTCAAGCAATGCAATGCAAGGCAAGGCAATGCGAGGCAATGAACTGCAGTGCGATGCAAATCAATGCAAGGCAATGCAGAGCAATGCAACGCACAGAACAGCAAAGCAAGGCAAGCCAAAGCAAGCCAAAGCAAGGCAAGACATACAAAGCAAGGAAAGACAACGCAAAGAAAGGCAATGCAAAGCAATGCAAAGCAAGGCAAAGCAAAACAAAGCAGTGCAACGGAATGCAATGCAATGCAATGCAATGCAAAGCAATGCCAGGAAAGGCAAAGCAATGCAAAGCAAGGTAAGGCAAGCAATGCAAAACAATGCAAAGAACTGCAAAGCAATCCAAAGAACTGCAAAGCAATGCAAAGCAATCCAAAACAATGCAAATCAATGCGATGCGAAACGATGCGAGGCAATGCAATGCGAGGCAATGCGATGCGACGCAAGCCAAAGAAGCGCAAAGCAATGAAAAGCAATGAAAAGCAATGAAAAGCAATGCAGACCAATGTAAAACAATGCAAAGCAAGTCAAAGCAACTCAAGGAAACGCCAAGCAATGCAAAGCATTGCGACGCCAAGTAGTGCAAAACCACTCACAGCAATGAGTGCGAAGCAACGCCAAGCAAGCAATTTAAAGTAAAGCGATGTAAAGCAATGCGAAGCAAAGAGACGACGCGGCGACGGGGCGGCGACGGCGACCACCAGGCGACGGACCCGACAACGGAGCCCACACGACGGGCGGCGACGAGGCGACGACGGGGCAGCGACGGCGACCGCGAGGCGGCGGACCGGACAACGGAGCCCAGGCGACGGGCGGCGACGAAGCGGCGAGAGGGTGGAGACTGCGACCACGAGGCGGCGGACCCGACAGCGGAGCCCAGGCGACGGGCGGCGACGAGGCGCGACAGGGCTGCGACGGCGACCACAAGGTGCCGGAGCCGACAACGGAGCCCAGTTCCGTCAAAACAAATGAGAACCCCTAAATGCAAGCACAGGGAAAAGGTTTCGGATGCCCGAGCGGATTTCTCGGAACGGCGGTGGAGCCACTTAGCGGCGCCTCTGGCGCCGCCCCTGGCTTGCTCGGCGCGCCAGCGAGGGGGGGTCCGGCGCCGATCCAAGAAGTCCGCACGGACCTCCGAAAGTTGATGTGCATGCTGTCCTTCCCTCGTAGCGCTTCAGCAGAGGATTATATAATATTAATGTGTATATATATACATATATATATATATATTGCTATAATAATATATATATATATAGAGAGAGAGAGAGAGAGAGACAAAAAAAACTAAAGAGACCTACAGGGGGACGGGGAGCCCGAGGACGCCTGGTCCAGCAGCCGTTTCGCCTGAGACGTACCCGCAATTCGTTCCGGATTCGTGATCTTGCCTGGATGCTGGCTCTATCTTTTGGCCCAGACGGCCACGATCCCGTGCAAGGACCACACTACGGTGCACATGGCCGTGCTCTCACGCATGTTCCCCGCAGCCGACCTCTTACTCCTCGACCCGCCCCTTGACCTTCACCCTTGCTGCGACTAGTGGGGTGCTTTGCTGGGGTAGTTCAGTATTCGATCTGCGAGCCCTGGAAGCCGAGGCTCTCGGGGGCGCGCGGTTCTGGCGGGGCGCTCGGGCGGCCGCCGTCGTGGTTGTGACGAGGGTGTCGCCCTGACCGCCTCTGCTCCTGGCGGGGCAAAGGGGTGGCAAAAGGGAGGCAGGTGGGAGGATCGGGCGAGAGGAGCGTTGAGGAGAGGAGGAGGGGAGGAGGGGTCGGAGGGAGGGGAGAGGGTTGGAGGAAGGATAGGAAGAGAGGCGGGTGAGGCGGGAGGGAGGGAGGAGGGACGAACGAGGAGGGGGAGGAGGGAGGAGGGAGGACAGGAGAAGGAGGACGGGAGAAGGAGGAGGAGGAGGAGGAGGAGGAGAGAGGAGAAGAGAGGAGGAGATGGACGGTGACGGGAAAGGATGAGAGGCAGGGGGGAGTCCACTACGTATCAACGTCTGTCCTCCATCGCACTATCATTGTCGGACTGGGCATCGGGGGCGTCACCAGACAGCGGGCGAAGAGAAGCCAAGGGGGTGATGGGCTAACTCGGCTAACCCGAGCTGCTGCAGCAAAGGAAAAATCTTTCAGTTTGTCCACTGGCGGCATAGTTAGAGTCAAAATGGCGGTCACCCAGATCAATTTGAGTAAAAATTGGGCCTGGCGTAAAGCAGAAGAGTTGATCAGATCTGACAGGAGGACGGGCGCCGAGACGGTGAAAACAGATAGGAAAAAACGCATAATTTCAGTGAATGGCACCACAGTGTTTCACCAGATCGTGACCGACTTGCAGGGGACAGGTCTCAACAATTACTCCTCCTCCTCCTCCTCCTCCTCCTCCTCCTCCTCCTCCTCCTCCTCCTCCTCGTCCTCGTCCTCGTCCTCCTCCTCCTCCTCCTCCTCCTCCTCCTCCTCCTCCTCCTCCTCCTCCTCCTTCTCTGGGGGGGGCACTCAAAAGGTCAGGAGGAGGGACATCGACACCAGTGAGTTCTTCCTCGGCGATGCGGGCGGCAGCAGCCACACCAGGGAGTTCTCGTTGCAAGTGATGCGGATGGGCATCGCCACCAGCGAGTTCTTCACCAGCGACGCGGGCAGCAGCAGCCACACCAGGGAACTAAGGTCGAATACCATGTGAACGTACATCGCCACCAGCGGGTTCGGCATCACCAGGGAGGTCGCCACCAGCATCACCAGCGAGGCCATTCCCAGGAGCAAGATGGGCATGCAGAACATCGTCAGAGGCATTACTAGCATGCTCGATACCAGCGCGACCAGCGAGGCCATCACCAGCAGCATGTTGAGGATGTATGGACTCATGAAGGGCATCGCCAGCGAGGACGTCACTGGGGCCTTTTGCGCGGGCGCCACCAGCAGCATCTTGACGGTCGTCACTAGCGCCACCAGCGAGGCCATTCCCAGGAGCAGGATGAACATGCACGTAATCGTGAGGGGACTCACCAGCATGGTCGACGCCAACGAAGAGCAGGAGGAGGAGGAGGAAAGGAAAGGAAGGAGGAGGAGGAGGAAGAGGAGGGGGAGGAGGGGGAGGAGGAGGAGAGAGGAGGGGGAGGAGGAGGAGGGGAGGAGGGGAGGAGGAGGAGGAGGAGGAGGAGGGGGAGAGGAGGAGGGGAGGGAGGAGGGGGGAGGGAGGGAGGGAGGGAGGGAGGTGGGGAGGAGGAGAAAGGTAAGATGCCTCGTGGATCAGGGGGCCCATCCAGGACCCGACTCATGAATTACGCGGGGGCACGGCGGCAGGGGAGGAGGAGGCAGGGAGGAGGTGGAGCAGGAAAAAGACAGAGGGGAGGAGAGAGGGGCGGAGGGAGGGCGAGGCACGGGGGAGGGGGGCGAGCTCGGCTCCTCGCCCTGCTGGAGGTCCTCTGCATCAAGGTGCCAGTGTAGTCGCTGAGATCCATCGAGCTGGAGTAAGACCTGCAGCTCTGCGCGCCAAGTGTGGCCCCCGACCCTCGCGGACCTCCGGTGGCCTCCAGGGACCTCCACGGATCTCCCCGGACCGCCGGGGACCTCCCAGGACCCTTGGCTGTCCCGATCTGCAACACGCAACCCGTAGCGCACCGATACGGAGCTCAGCACGCAGACTGGAAGCGCAGGTCTGACGCGATACGTTCGCCAAAACGTGGGCCAATACGCTGCACCAACACGCAACGTACTGATGCAGACTGTTTGAACACGGTACTTGTTGCTTTTCCAAACGGGCACATCGAAGCAACTAAGCTCCCAGGAATTCCTGGAGCCTCAGGGGCAAGAGCACAACTGACTACATGCACAAACTCCTCCTGATGTTTCTTGTGGGGGGGGGCGGCCGTTTTTCGACATGGGGTGTCTCGCTGTGGCACCGCGTTCACTCATTTTTGGTTCCCGGCCAGGCACCTCTGCGGATGAAGGACGGGTGGTTTTCGAAATCGAGTTCTCGCCTCCGTGCCGCGCGCGCTCGTCGTTTAAATTGAAAATGCAAGGAAGCCCGTTCTCAAAAGGGGTGCTGGCCCTGGCGCCACGAATGCTCGCTTTAAATCCCAACGATTGCATACACGAGTAGCAGCTCCATTTCAGAATGGCGGTCCCGCCAGAGACTTCAGCAACAAAACTAACCGACTATCCCCTCGAAGAAAGACTGTGCACATTCTACTCGTATGGACAGTGACTTCTCATCCAAACGACAAGAAATGAAACACATATGGAACGTGGTTCCTCCTCAAAGCGGGCCCAGGCTGGACGCTTCTCTGAGTTTCGCACAATTACAAATCCCCTACACATCCAGGAATGTAAGTAGCGCCTTTTCAAAGCAGACCGCTGGCCTGGATTTCAGGACCATTGGACGTCATGTTCCAAGAAAGCGCCCCGCACATTGAAAACAAATGCGCACAAGGCCTAATTAGGAGCGGGTTCCACACGGGAGGGCGCACTGTATCATCGGTGATGAGTGTTGGGTTTACTCGTCTCCACCGAAATCCACATCCAGCTTATATTCGGATCCGTATTCCTCCACCTCCTCCTGATCCTCCGTATCATCATCATGACCATCATCATCATCATCATCATCATCATCATCATCATCATCATCATCATCATCATCATCATCAGCCGCACCATCATCATCATCATCATCATCAGCAGCAGCATCATCATCATCATCATCATCATCATCATCATCATCATCATCATCATCATCATCATCATCATCATCATCATCATCAGCATGGCATCATCATCATCATCATCAGCAGCATCATCATCATCATCAGCATCATCATCATCATCATCATCATCATCATCATCATCATCATCGACATCATCGTCATCGCCGTCATCGTCAGCATCATTGTCATCGCCATCATCCCCAGCAGCATCAGCATCAGCATCAGCATCAGCATCAGCATCAGCATCAGCATCAGCATCAGCATCAGCATCATCATCATCATCATGACGAGACGATCCGTTTTCTAGCGGCAAATGCTTCTGTGTAGCTCACTCTGGCAGTCTCAGCGCCGCCTGGACTGCCGACAGGAGTCTGACGGGCAAAGTGAACCTGAACACGGACTGGCAAGCGTGCACGTCAGACACAAGCTGCTCCACTCCCTGTGACCAAGGGCGGCACGAGGGCGGGCGATGAAGAAAAGCGAGGCTTGAGCACAAACGGTTGCACATACAGCGTTGCAGAAGACTGTCAAGCTGAGACGGTTACCGTTTAGGTGGACATGGAGGGGTATTCGGGGCCCGACACTCGAAAAGCCTCAGCACGTCATTTTCGTGCTACGCACACCCATGACGAGACGATCCGTTTTCTAGCGGCAAATGCTTCTGTGTAGCTCACTCTGGCAGTCTCAGCGCCGCCTGGACTGCCGACAGGAGTCTGACGGGCAAAGTGAACCTGAACACGGACTGGCAAGCGTGCACGTCAGACACAAGCTGCTCCACTCCCCAATTCTGTCCCAAAGCTGGCGTGGGCCAGTTCACACATTTAGATAGAGGGACCTTATGGGGGCTAAAAGGGCGACCGCGAGCGAGCGAGCGAAAGCGACGGGCATTTTGAAACTGGTCAAACACAGCGGGCCTGGGTGCCTTCTGGTTCGAGGTCCAAGGATCCGCAGCCCGTCGAGATCCCGAGATGAGATCCCTGCACATAAAACTACCCAAGGTAGACGATGATGACTACCGAAAGCACTGAGTGTGTTATCTACTCGAGTGGCAGCGCAGGCAGCAAGCCTGTGTAAGGCTGGCCTCAGCGCGGCTGAGGTGTCATAGTGCAAAACGAGACAAGGGACAAACGCTTTGGTGGCCGCTCGCATGACCCGTTGGACATGCGACAAGTGACGCGAGTTGAAACCTGACTCAACCAAAACACCTAGGAGACGCTTACGCTGGAGATCGCATACTAAGGATCTGGCGGACAATGCGTCGGGACGCTGACCATGCAAGCATCTGACTTTAAAACCTGACGCGCGAAGCGGCCGCCCGATCTGTCGACTGTGCGGCCCCCAGACGCAAATCCAGCGTGACACGACGCCACGGCTTAGGGGAAAACGGGCACGGCCTGCCCGCCTAAGAGCACTCCCACGAGCCGAGCCTCGCACTGCTTTGCATGCGCCTTGAAGTTCTCGCTCAGCCTCTCCCAGGTCTTGCTCAGCAACGCGTGCATCTCGTACCTCTGAAGGCTCTTGTCCGTCTTCCAGTCGCCGCGACGCTTGATGGCCGCCATGTCTCGAAACCCGCGTGGGCGGTCGTGGAAAGCTCCCGAGTGCCGAGCCTGGGATGGTACCACATCGATCTTGAGGCGGTTTGCCACGGTCTTGAACGAGCGGGCCAGCCCGGGGTAGCTGAAAAGCCAGAGACACTCCCCATCCGTCCGTGATTTGAGGGCCTCCAACAGTGGGTGGAGCGACTTCCAGAAAGAGTGGTCCAGCATGCAGCTCTGGACAAACTCGTTCACCTTGTTGGCCACTCCCCCCTCGTACGGGTTCAGCGTCGCTCCCCACATGCCCGTCACGGAGTTCGGGGCTATGAGGTCGTCGGGACACATGGCCAGCAGACTCCCAGGCCTGCAGTACGTGCTCCTCATCACGAGCGGCGCCAGTCCCTTCTCGAGCTTTCCGTCCAGAACCAGGCCGTCGATGATGGCTGCCCAGACTGCGAAGGCCTGAGGGACGCGAGCCCGAGGCGGAACCACGATGACCCAGCCCTCGAGCGCCCGCCCGCTGCGAGGCAGGCCCTGGCGCCCGACCTTCCCGAGCTGCGGCGTCCCGTGCATGACCGAGGCAATGACCTCCATTCCTTCGGACGGGGCCTCCCCCTTCAGCCACAGTTCTTCGAAGTACATCACCAGCAGTTCGTCCAGGCGACTGGTGTCCACATCCTGAGTTCGCTCGACCTCGACCCACTCCGCAAACGATGTGAGGTCCTTCACGTACGACCTCTCGGTGCGGACCCTCACGGCGCGCTGCTCCAGCACACTGAGCCCGTGCAGCTGCTTGTCTCTCTCCATCACCTCCTGCAGCCACCTCTCTAGACGCCGCTTGCCGCGACGCTCGGGTCGGCGGGCACGATCGGCGGGCTCGCCCAGTGCGTCGGACTCGCTCGAAGTGGAGTCGGACGGCGCGTCGCGCCTCTGGGCCGAGCCACTGGTGTCTGGCCTTAGGATGCCGTGGCAGTCGGCCGTCTGATCGACCAGGCGCGGTGGGGTTGCAGGGACTCCCGCGACCAGCAGCGTCCCGCGACCTCCACGACCCCTGACCAGCCCGCGGCTCTGTCCTGCTGCGACCGCCGCGCGGCTGCGGGCCAGCGTCCGCCCGCGCCGCTTCGGCGCGGCGGGTGCTCTCGGCGTCGCCCAGTCCGTCACAGCTCGCGCCAGCGCCCGAACTCCCCGAGGTCGGCCCGAGTCGTCCATGAGCGGCGGACGAAGAAGGAACAGGGAGACAATCAGAAAGGCGCATGAAGCGTACATTGTGGATGCTAGGCGCTCTCTGAGCCGAAGCGCCTGCCGACGGGTGGCAGGGCGGATGCACTTGCTTTCGACCAGACTCAACCTGGGGCAGAGAATCGACAAGCCTCACGACTCTAGGGCGCTCGGGGGCCCGACCACGAGGCCTGAGACACTCGGACAGCTTCAAAGGACGTCGATGGGGTGCGATACGAGGACTGTGGTCTCGCTCCCTTTCCCCCTCCATGTCACTTGTTAAACTTCGTGCTCTCAAAAAACTACGCTGACTATCCCCCTTGCTCGACACGGGGGGCGCAGGAAAAGAAACCTCACCAGGACTCTCACGAGGTCCTTTCGCGGTCCCCTGGGACGGCGGGTGCGAAAAAAGCCGAGAGGGCCAGTCCGCGGGGTTTCGCTCCGAGGGGATCCACCTAACAGTGAGACGGACATTCCTGGCGAGGCAAAGACACGCAAGCTTCCTAAGGATCAACAGAAGCTTGTAGTTTCTGGTGCGATATCTGTCACAGCAAAGCACAAGCGCGAGATTATCACAGAACAGGAGCTGTCTGAGATTGCGGCCAGGGCGAGAGAGGAGGATGCGCTCGGCGCCGATGAGCAAGGCGCGGGCTTCGAGCAGGAGAATGTTTTCCTCAAAAGCGAAAGGCCACCCACCGCACACGTGCCAGGCATCCTCGGCCAGATCGGAGGCCGATATCTCCTCGAACTCGGCAGAGGCCTCGAGCCCCTGGGCTCCTACAGCTCCAAGGGCCTCGAGACTGTCACGGTGCAAAAGCGGGCACGAGTCAAGCAAAGCGGCCTCACGGGCACGGACGTGCCCGGGGTGCCTGAACCGATCACGCTCACGCACTCGCCCATAGCGGGAAGTAGTACTGGCCCCCAGCGCGCGTAAGCATACGCCGAAGCCCTCCTCGCAGGCGTCCGTGGCGCAAGCAATGCCGTTCCAGTCCAGCTCCCACGACGCCACCAGCGTGATCAT